GCGGCCGTTGCGGAGTGTGTTTACAGGCGTTATTGAGCTGCTTTGTCTCTGTTTAAGGCTTCTTTTTTTGTTTTGCTAAACATGCACTGAATTCGAGAAACTCAATAACAACCCAGTGTTATTCAGCAGGGATTCTTTATTGCGGCGCTGGGCAGCCCGGGGGATGGCTCCTTCCGTACGTGTGTGCCCAAGTGTTAGGGTTCTTGCTTTGTATTTACAGCTTTCATGTTTATTCATTACATTTCTAAAAAAAGGTTGGGTTAATCTAATTATTTCATTAACGTAAGTTCCTTCCATAGTCTTGCCTCAGTCTGCCCAAGTTAACGCCCCTGTTGGGGGTCCTTGGTGGTCGTTGGGGATGAAGGTCCAAGTCTTCCTCATGGTTGAACTTTTGAACTTGTCCTGTGGCACATGCCCTGTACCATCCTGGGCCTTTTCCAATTTGCAGGACCAGCTCTTTCTCGCTGCCCTCCCTCTCTCTCCTGCTCAGTCCTTTGTGTTCCTTGAGCCCCACAGTCTGATCGGAGGATTCCACCGGGTGTCCTTCGCTTGGCGGATCCTGCTTCATTCTTATCTTTAAAGTGTTAGTTAGTCAGCAATGGATACATGCATAAGGGTTAGTACAAATCAGCCTCCCTCCCTATCTCTAAAGGCTGGTCAGCAGTTCCTTTCTAAAAGCCAGTTTTCTAAGAGCCAGTTAGCCATTCTTTATTACAGCACCAGCGCTGGGCCTAAGGGCCTGCATCGCCTGCGACTGCTGAGGTTGAAGATACCGTCCTGCAGGGGCTCTTGCTTCTAAAAGCCTCTTGACACTGGTTACGGCACTTTAGGAGTGTGGGGCACCCAGGGTTAAAAGAGGAGCTGGTCTGTGTCAGTGGAAACTCCCCTTGTAACTCTGGTATCAGTGTGCTTATGGGTATGGCATTTGGAAAACACTTGACTTGGGAGGGGAAAAAAACCCCCAGCCTCCTAAACGCACTGAATTGAGCAAAGCTGAATTGAAAGGTGAAGTTCTCTTAACTGAGAGTTTCAAGTGCACTGAGTTTGTTTTGCTTCTTGTACTGAACAAATTTGCTTGGAGCCCTGTGGCATGCTGTCTGCTTCATTATTCCTTTATTATCATGCCTGTATTATCACTTTCAAACTTTCTCTCATTAGTGCTAGCCTGGTAACTATCTTTTAACACTGTCTGCGCTCAGAGCTGTCTGTGGCTCGTTCTGGGTAGAGTTTGGAAGCTGCCCTTAGTTGTCGCTAACTTAAAGTCTCCATTCTAGCTAGATATAATTGTGATTTACCTCAAGTGGAAGGTGAGAGATTCAGTAGTTCTGTGTATCGCGGTGATCTCCTGTAGACTGTAGTGTTTCCATTGTTGTCTTTTCTTTTTTTTTTTTTTTTTTTTTTTTTTTTTTTGCAGAAAGGCAAATGGCTTTTCCTTCAAAGAAACAATGCGTCAGCAAAACAGCGGATCTGGAGTTCAACAAAGATCCCAATTTTAACTTTAGCTCAAACGTTCCAGCAGACAGTGTCTTCAAAGCTACAAACCAAGGGTAAATGAAAGTAAAATATTGATGGATTTATTACTTGGCGTCTGTCCTAAAGATGGCTCAGCATTTTGCAGATTTTGTCAAACTCACAAACTCTGTAATCTGGAAGAATGCAGTGTCTCCTGGTAATTGTATTTTACCCGTCTTTTAAGGTTGCCTAAATCTGCCAAGAAAGTGGAACCGCTTTCAAAGAAGACAGCTACAAGGGGGTATGTTTCTTCGAATCTCTATTAGTTGCCCTCAATGCAGTAATGTTCCCTCTTGGAGGGCTGTGATTAGCTCTCGCCCACGTACAGCTTTCTTTGCTGATTAAAGCTCTTGGGCAGAAACAAGAGCAAATGCTTCAAAAAAGGGCATGTTTGTAGAAGTAAAAGAGAAGCTGTGTAATAGTGATTATTTTGCCCCTAAATCTTTGATGTTTGACTTTACAGACCTCTCACCAGATACAAACTAGAAGCAGAACTGAAGACCAAGGATCAGCTGTTAGAAGTAGCCAAACAACAGCTACACTCCAGACTAACAGAAGCACAAGTAAGGAAGGGGGGAGGAGATAAATAAATGAGTAATTCTTATATTCTGATCCCTACAAGGTCAGATCAAAGGATTGTCTTGCTTGTTTTCCTGTCTCCATCAGAAGTCGGGGGCGTTTGGGTGGGCTGGGTTTTTTCCTCCGACACCCATGATGTCTGCACGAACCTGGAAACGAGCAGAGCTGCAGAGGTATTTGGATGGGTAATGCATCCAGATCACTGTTAAATAGTCATCAGAGCTCTGATTCCATTTTAAACTCGTGGGAGAGTTTCAAGTTCACAACTATACACTTGTATGAAATTTTATTGTAACGGCCTCGATAATGCCAGGTGCTTCCTAGCTACATCAAGAGAAACTGTAAATAACCACTTGCCACTGATGGTTTGAGGTCTGTTAATTCTTTTCCTTCTGTAGCTCCCAACATGCAGTGGATCAGTTGTTCCATTTCCTTGTCCCTCTTGCCCAGTCTCTCCTGTCACGCAGTGTGGTGTGACAGTGCACACAGTATTGAAGCTGGGGGTTCGGGAACGTGTATGGTCTTGTTTTAGTAACAAAGAACATTTTACTTGGATTTTGGTCACTGCTGTGCCCTAAGTTTGAGGGACAGTGACCTCCTCTTCTTAGTATTTGACGCAGAGCTCAGTTGACACAAGCTTATGTTTCTTCCTGCGCGACGGTGTCGTATTGTTGCCTAATCTTTTAGTGTCTTTGTATTCTTCTGCAAGTTTTTTCCCTTCTGCTCAGTGCTGGTGAGGCCAAACCTGGAGTATTGTGTTCAGTTCTGGGCTTCTGGTACGAGAGAGACATGGACATACTGGAGAGAGTCCAGCAAAGGGACACTAAGATGATTAAGGAACTGGAGGAAACGTTGAGAGAGCTGGGACTGTTCAGTGGATTGTTTCAAACAGATTTGACTTTTGAATCAAGTTTAAGTTCAGAACTGGCACCTCATTATTCACTACCTCTCACAGATCACTTGAGGACACCCTTAGCACAAGTTCTGTCATGTGCAAGGGGCCCTGCTGGCAACCTTCAGCTCTAAAAGCTCACTGTATTTCCTAGTTCTCAACCAGTTACTAATCTGTGAGGTGATCATTCCTCTTATCTCACAGCTTGATTTCTTTAAGAGCCTTTGAGACCTCCTACGAAATGTTCAGAAAGCTTCTGACACTATCAGCTGGATCACCCTAATCCACAGGCTTATTGATTCTCTTGGAGAATTGCATTCAACTCGTGAGGTTGATCAGCTTATCCCAGTGCCTGGTAATATCTGAACTGTG